CTTCAGAAAGTTTCCAACTGGATGCCCCACTGACATCTCAACATTTTCCAAAAAGAATAAGTTATCCTCCCCTAAAACCTACCCCTCTTCCTAACTTCCCTATTTCTTTCAAGAATACCAACATCTTTCCAGCTCCTCTACCAGAGAATGATTTGGAGGTATCCTCAACTCTTTCCTCTCCTTTGCTCCCCATTTCCAATGTGCTGATTATATCCCCACAACATCTCTAGAATTTCTCGTCTTCTCTCCTTGATACCTTACTTAAGAACCTCTCATCACCTCTTCTCTGGATTATAGCTATTTCAATAGCCTGCTAACCAGTCTGCTTTCAGTCTCTTCTCTCTATAATCAATTTTTCACACAGCTGCCAAATTGACATTCTTAAAGCACAGGTCTGACCACACTATTTCCTTGCTCAGGAAGTTCCAGTATCTGCTTATTACCTTTACGAAAAAAATACAAAGTTCTGCATCTGGCATTTGAAGCCCCTCACAATCTGGCTCCAGTTTATCTTTCTAGACTGAATCCACATTACTCCCACACTCATGCACTCAAGGGACCCAGTCAAACTGTCCCTGCCTCTGCACAGGCTGTCCTTGACAATGCATGGAATACTCTCTCCAGCTCCTTCAAGGGTCAGCTCAAGTATCTTCTCTCACTGGAAGCCATTCCTGATCTACCAGATATTAGTGACACCTCCTCCCCCTGTATTACTTTATTGTACAAGTTGTGTTTTCTCCCAGTAAAATGTAATTTCTTTAAGAAATTACAGGGGCTGTTTCATTTTTTTTGTCTTTATTCCTAGCACAATGCTGAGCAAATAGGCATTTTTATAAATGTACAGACTCATTTCAACAAGCAACAAGTATTTATTAAACACCTACTATACATAAGGTCAGAGGTTTTTTTGCCTTCCAGTAGTTTATATTCCACAGAGACATATAACATGAGGAAAATACAAGATAATTTGAGGAAAACATTAACAACTGCTCTAGGAGTTGTTGTTTATCCTTCCTTCTCTAAGAGGACCATGACATCAGGGAGGTGATGCCATGACATGCAAGTGAATTGGATTTAAGTGAGGAAGGTCCGTGCAAAGTCACCAGTCTCACTCTCTCCTCCAGAGCTATCTGGGTCCAGTGGCAAGATACAGATCAGAAAGACCCAATGCAGTGAGAGACCTTGGCCTTTCTGTTTATTTGTGTTTTGGGGCTAGGCAAAGGGGTTAAGTGACTTGCCCAGGGGCACACAGCTAGCAAGCATCAAGTGTTTGAGGCTAGATTTGAACTTAGGTCCTCCTGACTCCAGGACCGGTGCCCTATCCTCTGTGCCACCTAGCTGCCCCAGACTTTGGCCTCTTTAAACTAAGGTCTTTCAGGTCCCAGTCTGACTGAGGCATTCAGTCAATTCAGTCATTAAGACTAGGTAAGAAATGAGGTTAAAAAAATGGCCTCCTTTAGCTAGTTTAAAAAAAAAAATTAATCTGGGAGGGGAAGACCCTCAGGGTTTCTGACCAAAACTAAAAACAACTGCTATTTACACTCACTCAGAGCCATCAAGGAGCCTAAACAATGACCAAGTGAAGCTTGGGCTGGGACCTATTCTTGGTCAATCAATGAAAACCAGGGTGATTTGGGTTTAAGGCATGGTCCTAAAGAAAGAAATCTAACCCATAAATTACAAGATATCTTGTGAGGTTTCAGGGATCAAAATTTATATTCCTTTGGGCAGAGCACCAGAAAGTAAGGGTATGATACCCTATGTGGACAGAGGAAGAGGAGGGAAGGAGAGTAGGGAGAGAAGGAAGGATGGAAGGAGCTATGTTGTGTTGCCCAACTGGAACTGACGAGTTGGGTCCCCAGTGGGGCAGCTACTACTACTTACAGGTTGTTTTTTCTACATTCTCAAAAGAGGACCATGACCTCAGGAGGGTGATGCCATGACTTGCAAGTGAATTGGACTTAGTGAGAGAAGGCTGTGCAAAGTCACCAGTCTTACTCTCTCCATTGGAGCCATCTGGTCTAGTGGCAAAATATAGATCAGGACGACTAGAGATGGCCCCAGATGCAGTGGGAGACCTTGGCCTTTTTAAGCTAGGTCTTTCCCAGGTCTCAGTTTGACTGAGGCAATGCCCATTCAGTGATTCAGGCTAGGTAAGAAATGAGGCAAAGAATCAAACCCAAATCACTCTGGCTCTCATGGATTGGCCAACAACAGGTCCTAGTCAAAGCCTCATTTGGTCATAGTTTGGGCCCTGATGGCTCAAAGCAGAGTGTAAATAGCAATTGTTTTGGTTTTGGCTAGCAACCAGGAGGATCTTCCCTTCCCAGATTGAATTTTTTAAACTAGGTCAAAGAAGCTCTAGGAATACTTAAGAACTCAAAGAGGAGGCAAAAACAGAGATTATCTAAAAGGAAGGTAAGAACTCTGAGAAACTAAGAGGAGGAAGTGCACTCCCAAGCAAGAGACAAATGTCCCAAGGGAGGAAATGGACAGCTATTAGTCTAGTTGGTCTCTAACATAATGGATACTAAGAGAGACCAAAGAGAAATCTGGCTTGAAAGGTAGGCTGATACCAGATTGCGGCAGGCATAAACCCAGGCTAAAGAGTCTGGGCTTTAACTAGATAGGGAGCCATGGAAGGTTTTTTGATCAGGGGAGATCAGTCCTGTAATTTGGGAAAATTATTTGACATCTTCACATAATAAAAATGAAGACTGGAAGCAGGTGACAAATGAGCACTATTCCAAGAATCCATACTAAAGAAGGGATAAGGGACTGATTTAGTATGACTTTGGACAAGAGATGTTTAAGGGCTAATACTAATCGACAAGACTTGGCAACTTGGAAATGAGGGAAAGGGGTGGATGTAGACAAAGAAGTCAAGGAAGGCTGACTTTGTGGTTACAATCTGGGATGATGCGATCTCATGAGGAAATAAAAAGCAAAATTTGGAAGACGGTCAGGTTTAGGGCAAAAGGTAATTAATCAGTTCTTTTTAGACATTTGAGTACAATTTTTTATATTCCTACTTCAAATTTATATTATTATTCAGTTTTTATCTGGGAAAGGATACCATTTGTAAGAACTTGGACAATATAAAAACTTCTTATAATTGTCCTTGTGAAAGGTCAATGTGGCCACTCATAGCTTATTAATTATTTCCTGGGTTGCTTTTAAGATGGCAACTTCTAATAATAAAGCTACAAATTTTCAGCAGAAAATTGTAGCATGTTAACTTTGTATTTGGAAGTCATCACAATGGAATTTTCCCCAACTCCTCTCACTTCCCCCAACCACTAAAATCAAACCAAAACTTATCTCTATGGGTTCCGCCCTATCAGTAAAGAATCCTCCCCATATAAACACTCCAGAAGAAAACCAAGATATCATATCACTTCTAAAGGTCAAATGTAAATCTTTATAATGTAGAATAACAGAAACTAACAGTGCCTGGAACAGACTCATTTTGGTGACTTCCATAAAACTAACCTACACAAAATGTAGGCATTATGCAACAGTCACTAATCAACATTCTCGTATTTAAATTCTGCACACAATTCCAATTCTACATTACTGGATATAATCCAAATTATGGCCCAAATAAACAATTTATCATATAGTTGGCAGCCCAATAAATGAAGGATGAGCATATAACTAACCAATACTACATCTAAACATAACTGCAAAATTTTCTGGAACCAAACAAATGGCACTTGGTGGGTTAATGTACTACATATACAAACTTTGCCTTGTAATGGTCCCTAAATTTGGACCAGTTAATTTTAATTCTAATCCCTCTCTCCTCTTTCAGGAGGTAAAAAGCAAACCTCCAAACCCCACCAACCCAGATACACATTCATTTCATTCTATTTTTAAGAACACCAAACTCTGGGGTGACATAGAGGGAAGGGGAAGATAGGCAGGGAGAAGGGAAAAGACAATTTAAATCTGTTTCCCGTAGTCTAACTGCTTTAGCTGAGCTGAGGAAGGACTACTTATAATCCTTTTTCTCCACTAGCAGCAAAGAAAGAACCATGACCCCAACTCGTAAGTTCATCCATAAAGCCATCTAGAGAGCTCAAGGCTCCTTATATTGCTTTCCTGAGGGACAGGATGATCCTGATAAGTCATATCTACAGGATTGTAAAGCAGCAGCCAGCCAGCCAGGCAGTCAACAAGCACTCATGAAACGTTTACTACTACGTGCCAAGCAGTGTGCTCACTGCTAACGACACACACACAAAAGGAAAAAACAAAAAAACAAGCGTGTTCAAGAAGTCACAATCGGAGGAGGGGGGGCGGGGAGACACAATGCTTTGGATTCCAAGTTCCCTCCCACTAATCTAAGGGTTCTTGGTCCCTTTCCGAAGTATAGTGACGTTAATGGACCCCTTCTCAGAATGTTTTTAAATATATAAAATAAAATGTATAGGATTACAAAGAAAGCCAATCATATCGAAAGATACATCAATATATTTTTTAAAAAAAAACAAGTTCACGAACCCCAAAGAACCTCCGGGCGACTAGTCAAGAGTATTTAAAGGTGACTGATGGGGTAGCAGCCTAGAGGACCACATGGCCAGTCCTATATCTTCAAAGGACTGAAACTTGAAGGGTACAGTATGTTCACCCCTTCACCGAGCCTAAGTGGGGGCGGGGGGCGGGCGAGGGAAGGGATTCACGAGAGGGTTACTAGCTGCAGAGGCCAAGCTAGAGGCTGGAGGAGTGGGATGGAGAAGGAGAAATTCCCTCACACAAAATGGTGGAGCTTCCACGAAGCTGGGCGCACCTGGGGCCGGACGCACAGCTGCCCCTCACCTCGCACGCCGGGGCTGTCTCCCGGAGCTCGGCCTTGACTGCCCGCCCGCCGCACCGGGGGGTGCAGATCGTTTCTTGGGGACCGGAGTGCCAAGGACAAGGACAAGGCCAGGAGAAGGTGGGGAGGGAGTGGGGGGGTTGCGGGCCCAGGGAAGGAAGCCACCCGGAGTCTCACTTACCTCGGCTGGGCGCGCCCTCCGCACAGGAGAGGATCCAGGGAGGAGGCGGAGCCTCGGAGAATGAATGGAGCTGGAGGCGGCTGCGCTGCAGCAGCGACTCCGGCTGTGGCTGCGGGCAGGCGCGCCCCAGGCCAGCGGCGATCGCTCGCCCCGCCGTCCCCTTCCTCCTCCTCCACCGCGGGGGAGGCGGCGGCAGGGACGCCGAGGCTTAGCCGCTTCACTGCGCCCAGGGCCCAATTCTGCGCCTGCCCTAGCCCTACTCCCCGGCTGCGCCCACAACTGCGCCCGCCCCCAACTCCCCAGCTGGCTCAGTTCCACCGTCTGTCTGTCTGTCTATCACTCAGGCTGTCCGTCCGTCTGTCTGTCAGGGACCTTGTGCCCACTGCTCGCCCCCTCCGCCAGCCACTGACGCACACTCTGCAACGCCCCCAGCCTTTAAAGTCGTATCTCCCCCCATCCCACCACTACCACCGCCACCCACCCCACCGTCGCCTCCCATCTCTTTAATCCCCTAATCCCCCCCATCGCGGTCACGGTCATGGTCACGAGGGGATGGCAGGCGCAGACACCCGTGCATGAACCTGCCAGTGGGAGCCACTGACTGGGAGGAAGGGAAAACTGGTATGGGAGAGACTTCACCATCACTACTGTTCCCCTCGCCTCCCGGAGTAGCTGCCTATACCAGGAACCGTGCAACACCCACTCCCCACCCCCACCCCACCCCTTCACCCCTAGCTCTGGGCTGCAGCCTGGAGGGGGGGGTGAAATGACCGAGGTGTCGACGCAAAAATATATATACGAATGTGTTGCATTGGATGTTATGCCTGATTTGCATAGTCCTCGAAGATTTTAATGTCAACAAGTCTAGGATCTCCATTCCTTCTTGCTCCTGCTGCGCAAAAATAGATACGAACATACTGCGTTGGATATAATACCCAATTTGCATGTCTTCCTTTAAGGTCAAAATGTCTAGTATGTCCATCCCTTCCTGCTTCTGATGCTTCGCCACACACGTCCCTCCCAGGTCTCCCAGATCCTAACTGCTGTGTCATAACCGACTCTTCTGGCAGGGAAATGTATACTCAGGAATTCTACCTAGGTTTGACCAGCCTTGCTTGCTGCGCGGTCTCCAGCCTCAATCTCTGGATGGGGAGAGTTCTTTCTGTTTTCGCCAGTGGGATTAGGGAATACGCATTAATTGTACCGCAAGACACCCACAATTTTAATCATAATGGGAGGAGCAAATCTAACTTTCATCTTGGATGCAAAGAGGAAGAGAAATCTTGGGCTAAGTTTGCGCTTAAGAAGCCAGAAAATACTTTCACTTCAAAGAAATCCCTCCAGTCCTTTACTCCATTCTTTCAAATTCTGGTGACTTTCAAACAGATCTTTCCTCAGATGAGGGCAGCGGGCCATTGTCTTCTAAATTTTACTTTTGAAAAGAAGGAATCTTAGTAAATGCTCTTCAGGTAATAATGATGATCAGGATAGTAACCGTGATTCTTCAAGTAACATAGGTTTTATTGAAAAATCAACGTGTGTACAATGTCATACTTAAATTTTATTTTTAAAAATGTATTCATATGTAATATGCCTACAGAAAATTAACTTAACCTGGAGTCAAACTCAGTTGACTGAATCTGACCTTGTTCCCAATTCCGGGACCCCTGAATTACCTGAAGATAACTAGACGTTATCACTCCAGCCTCTGACTATTTTGTAAAGGTCCTAAACTCTCCCCTTCAAGATTCCCAGCTTTCTCCTAGGACTTTTAGTAGTTATGAAAAACAGTTTACCTCAAGAAACCATAGAATGTCCTATCCCCTAGAACCTGCTGCCCCTTTCACTCTGCCTAACTTCTCCCACGTGTAGGTTGGCCATTCCCCCTGCCTTAGTACCCTATAAGCCTGTTCCCAGCCCCCTCCTTGAATACCCCAGCACTTAGTATGTGACCCTGCATTAAAGACTTCCATTTTGCTATTTTGACTGTTTTCTCTTAAATTGAAGTTGACACAAGCATCAAACAGCCTTACAAGTTTTCAGTTTGGAAATAAATTCTTTGTCCTGAACTGGAAAACATTTAGAATTCTGTGTTTCAAAGGTCAAAATCTTAACTTTCTTTGAATATTTTTCAGTGACTCCAGTAATATGTTAAGTATTCAAAAAATACTTGCGTGATTAATATTAAACCAACTCTTTTTGATTTTTGTAACATTTCTGTGTGTACACACACTGTACAACTTTTCAATTTAGAAACATCTCCCACATCTGCCATTTTAAACTACCCACTAATAAACTAATAAAGTCAGTAGCAATTTTGTGATCTCACAATTTAATATTTATCATTTTTAAAAGAAAGAGAATGAGAGTATAATGGACCAGCTACTTCTGACTTCAATATTTGAGGCTCAGACTGAATGACCCTACCTCTGTGCACCCATATCTCTAGCTGTAAAATAATCATAATTTCCATCAAAATATTTTGTGAGATGCTTTGAGGCACTTCAGAGGAGAGCTTTATAATGATTACGTTTGTTTTTATTGCATGTTTATTTTCACTGTTCTTGTGTTCAACTAAAAAGCAAAAGTGCAGGAAAAGAGCCTTCTGGGTTCTCCCTTAAGGGTAGTGCCTGCTCTCTGATTATCTCCAATGTATCCATATCTGTATCTTGTTTGTACTTAGTGGTTTACATGTTTCTCCCATTAAACTGGGTTCCTTGAGAGCGCAGGACTGGGTTTTTACCTTTCTTTGTATGCTCAGGCCTCAGCACAGGGTGTGGCACCTAGGAGGTGCTTCTTGGTTTGAATTGTTGGACAGTCATGCAATTTAGCTGTCTGGTTTATGGGAGCTCTTTTCTCTGAAATAATCTCAGAGTAAGGTGGGGGAAAAAAGGGGAGGAAAAAGGACCCACATGTACAGAAGTATTTATAACAGCTCTTTTTGTGGTGGCAAAGAATTGGAAATTGAGAGGATGCCCATCCACTGGGGAATGGCTGAGCAAGTTGTGGTATATGAATGTAATGGAATACTATTTGGCTATAAGAAATGATGAGCAGGCAGACTTCAGAAAAACCTGGAAAGAGTTGTGAGGTCTGATGCTGAGTGAAGTGAGCAGAACCAGGAGAATGTTGTACACAGGAAGAGCCACGTTGTGCGATGACTAATATTGATAGACTTAACCCTTCTCGGCAATACAAGTATCTAAGACATCTCCAAAGGCCTCATGATGGAAAATGCTATCCACATCCAGAGAAAGAACTATGAAGTTTGAATGCAGATCAGAGCATTCTATTTGCTATTTTTTTTCTTCTGTTGTGTTTTGTTTCCTCTTTCTGGTGGTTCCTCCTATTGGTTCTAATTCTTACTTACAGCATCACTAATGTGAAAATATGTTTAATAGGAATGTATATGTATAGTCTATATCAGATTGCACGCCATCTTGGGGAGGGAAGGGGAGGAAAAATTTAAAACTCAAAAGCTTATGGAAGTGATTGTTGATAAATCAAAATAAATTAATTTTAAAAAGAGGAGGAGTTAATCATGTTATGATTAATCATGATAATGCTATTATGTAAATCATGAATGTTATTTTCACAAGCAAAAATGCAGAGCGTTTCTGGGGTGATCTCTAGGGAAAAAGTATTGGAGAAATTAATTGGAGAAAGAAACCGTGGGGCTAGCAAAAAGGCTTCAGACTAGAGAGATCTAAAAGTTTCGTTTTAGAGGTGGGGAGTTCTATCAGAATGACTAAAGTGTTGGAATTTAAGGCAACAAAGACCAAACTGACTCAGTTAAAAAGGCAGAAATGAGATCAGTTGGACTAATACTTAAAGGTCATAATCAGGATTTGGAGGGATGGGAATTAGATCAGTTAGGTCTCCCTCTGGTAATTGTCCTGAGCCCTCTTTTCTTCTGCCTTTATCCTATTTCACTTGATCTCATAAGCAACCATATATTTAATAACTATTTCTATGTTATTGATTCTCAAACCTATCCTGCCCCAATTTTTTTGTGACCTCCAATTTCACTTCCAACTAGATGTCTAGTATACTTCTTAAACTCAGTATGTCCAAAACAGGACACATTCTCTTTCCCCTAAACCCTCCCCACTCTTTTTTGTCATTTCAGTTGTCTCTGACTCTTCATGACTCTATTTGGGGCTTCTTTCCCCTTTTTCTTTTTCTTTTTTTAATATTAATTTATTTTGAGTTTCCAATGTTCACTTCTATAAGATTTTGAGTTCCAAAAATTTTCTGCCCCTCCATTCCTGCCACCCCATGATGGCTTGCAATCTGATATAGGCTCTACACATTTGGGGTTTTCTTGGCAAAGATACTGGAGTGGTTTGCCATTTCCTTTTCTAGCTCATTTCACAGTTGAGGAAACTGAAGCAAACAAGATTAAGTGACTTGTCCTGGATCACACAGCTAGTAAGTGTCTGGCACCAGATCAGGTCTTCCTGACTTTAGGCCCATTGCACTATCCACTGTGCCACCTAGCTGAACCCTTGCTACCTTCCCTGTTATACTAGAGGGCATCATGCTTGGGGCAGACACTTAACTTCCCCTGGAAGAATGAGAATAATGTGTTCCAAAGGCCATGAAGGTGGCTAACACAGGCGATGTGGAGAACTTAGAACTAGGTCAAACATAGAAGATTCCAAGGTCATCCACTGCATGCCGGGCCATCACCAGTCATCTTGAGTTTTATCCTGCCACTGGACTTCGATAACTCTCAAAGAGAAAGTGAGGCTGACAGCTTTGTGTAACTTTGCCTTAAATCCAATTTGTGTAGGAATCAAGACATCCCCCTGTTTAGATGGAGGAAAGGCAGTAGGGGAAGAAGTTAGGGTAAAGATCGTTAAAAGTTCCTGGGGATGCTGTTTGCAGGAGGATCTGTAGAGTTGGTGCATTCAGTTTGGAATCTGGTGTTGGTTGCACTGTTGGATTTACTTATAAAGAAAGGGAGTGGGGGAGAATGAGGGAAAGGCAGAAACACATACAAAAAATTCCAGTGGCAATAAAACTTAGACCCCTATTGAATGTGAAATGCTTGACAGCGGCTATTTCTTTCTTTCTTTTTAATTTTTGTCTTTGCATCCCCAGCACCTATTAGACACTTAATAAATGTTTGATGATTGATTGGGATTAGAAATTCTCTTGGAACATTGGTTACAGAAAGGTGAATGGTTGGGTGTGTTTGTGAAGACTATGTGCAAAGTCAGACCATGGGGCAAAATAATAGTCCGAGTGACCCCTGTCTTTTAACTTTGCTCAGCCTTTGGGTACTGTGCT